CTGTTTGCTGGCCCCAACTGTCAGAGCTGCAGTAGCTGAGATCTAAAACCCAGTCTTTACACAACATTCTTGGTCTGTTTCTCCGACCGGACCAGGTGTATTCAGCCTATGCCACACAGATCCAGTGTATTTCTCCAATGACAGAAACACACTTTAGTGTATTTCTATAGCTTTTTTACATTCCTGCCTGAGTCCAGCCCATTGTGAGCTCATCCAAGGTCTTGTGTTTAGTGGCCTAAACATTATGATCTTAGCAATTAGATAAAAAAATAACAGACAGAGAGTCTGGGATAACTTGTTCTGACCAGCAAACCCTGTGTCTTAATTGCATTTTTTTTTTAAAAACTAAGCATTTATCCCTTCCCTGAATCTTTGCCAGAAGGGTTTAGGCCCATGACCACATTACCACATCTTCCCGACACAACAGTTTGAACATTATATTCTGAAAGATCGCCAACATCCTACAAGACAATATCTCAAGCTCGGGCATTGACATTAAGCCTGAACGATGATGGGGAAATGAAAGTGCTCAGAGACTGATGACGTGTGTTAATGTGTGGCTTTAACTTCTGGGTTGTACTCTCGAAATCTGTGTCCACAGACATCTGCTGGTGGCTGTGAGCAATACATGCCGAAAGAGCAGGCTCCACGAAAGCGCGCGGTTCTTTCATTGCGTTTGCGGTTTTCTTCGGAGTTCCTCTTTTAATTAAAGACAAATTCAAAACGACCCACCACAAGACACCCATGTAAAAGCCGATAAATACAACAGAAAGTGTAGAGGCAAAATAATGGAGGTGAACTCCTGGTAAAGAAAGAAATGCATCTACTGGAGTTGAAATTTAAGATTGACTAAGCATGCAATGAATGGATGCTAAACTGAGGCAGGATCTTGTTTAGGCTGGCTAAGAGCTAAGAGCTAAGCACCCATGTACGTGCATACACAAAATGCTTAGCAACACTGTGGACACAGACACAGACACACACCTGTGTTTAGACTGCTTTGGTATCAGAAAAACACACACACAGTCATTCATGACAGTGTGACTCTGCATTTGGGTAGAAGCAACGTCAAAGTTTAGCCATTGTTATTGAAATGCAACCAAATCCCTGTATATTTAGTCCTTCGACCAAAATACTGTTTTAGCAGGCGTTTAGGAGTCAACGGGATCACATTAGTGGACCTGCCGAAGCCACAGGCTAGTCACAGATATATCTATGAATGCAGTTACCGAGTAAAAAAAAAGGCAACCCAGAAAAGTCATGTGACTCAACTGGGGGCTCTTTAAATCTGGCATTTTGCAAAAGATCAAAACAGATGTGAGACTCTGCTGGCTGCCAGTCTGTCTTTCTAAACAGTACAGTATAATACTAATACAGATCTCTGTTTGCCGTTGAGTGTGACTTTGTGCGTGGCGACTGACGTGTTCTGTTCTTTTAAAACTTAAAACTCATCGCAACACAAATGAAATCAGCCGATTTTACAGGAAGTAAAAGCTAGTCCTGATAGCAGGGTTCCGTTTGGTATGGAGTACTTTCACTTGTGACCTTTTGTGTACCAGACACATACGGCACTACCTAAATGGCCTCAGAATATTGAAGCATCAAGTAAAAGCAAAGCTTGGCATCTTGATAGCACGTTTGAACAATATTTGACCTTTGAGTGATTGACACACTCTGAACAACCACCACTACACGGCGTCACACCTCTATTTCGCTCAGACCTGCTGGTAATCTGGTGTGACTGTCAGTCCTAGCCACATCTCAGTTGTTCACTAAAATAACAAAGCACTTAAAAATGTAAAAATTCATCTTCATACAGAAAAAAGCCACACAGAGTGTCGTCCCGACATGACTGTAAAATGGTTAAAATAGGAGTGATTGGTCCCCGACCTGTTCTGTCTCTGAATCAAAGCTCCAGTCGTCCTGGTCTTACATTCTACATTCACTTAATCATCATCACAGTCGAGCAGACGTCAGACAACGGATGGAAAAACAAAGGAATGTGTTGGTGAGTAAATACAGCAAACACAGTTACTCTGTCCATGTATCTGTCCCACTGCATTACCGTAGTGCACTGGACATCTGAGGCAGTAAAGTGATACAACTGCTGCCAAACCCCTTTATGAAATCAAACCTGCAGGACACACAGGAGTCAGGCACATTAACTAGCCTTTGCATACAGATGTGCTTTGGTTTGCTCTGCGGCAATGCCAGCCGTGGGAGATATAAACGCAGAGTTAAGATGGTCAGCTGATCGAAGACCAACTTGTATCTGAGTCGACCTGTTTCGCTGCCATTTCTTCTGGCAGCTTCTTACACCATGAGGGAGAAAAACAGACTCAGAGACTCCAAATATTCATGTGAGATAGCCAGCAGCCTGAGCTTCTGTTCATTTCTGCTCCCCTAGACCTTTTGAGAACTAGTTTTACCCTGAGAACCAAAGGTTTCTGTTCCTGTTTTCTACTTGAATGAGATATAAGACTGCTCTGTAGAATACAGACGAGCTCCTCCAGAATTCACAAACCTGCGGAGAACAAATAAACGTACTGCTGATAACCTGTCCAAAACATTTCTTCACAAATGTCACCTGAATACACTAAGACAAAACACAGACACACACACACACTCATAGTCTATGTCCCCTACATAAAACACACAGTTGCCCTAAAGAGCTACCACACTTTTTTCCCTCTGAGTTTAAGCATAGCGTTGCCCCTCCTTTTATTCTGTACAGAAACACTGTCATAAGGGCTGAAATAGATTTAGTCAGAGAAAAATAACTTCAGAAAGATGGGCCAAATATCACTCAATTATCACTCCACCTCATTTAGTCCGTTTCGCAATCACATCAGCATCAACATTACATTTTTAACTGCGTCAATTTACCTTTTCATTAGCTGACGACTAAACGCAGCATAAAGCTACACAAAAACACTCAAGTTCTAAAACAAGGAGGGCAGGGAAAAAGGGAAGGAAGATACGGAGAAGTCCAACATATTTGGGATTTTACGTTCATATGTTGATCTTATAATGTCCTCTGAGTCAACAGCTCCACATCTGCAACACTGAGAGCCTTTAGGAGAAGCTTTTGGTTCCAAAGTGCATTCATCCTGAGACCAACAGAGGATGAGAAGGATTATCACAGCTGGCAAATATGGACTATGACTATGGCTCTTCAGTCTGCACTGGGCTCCAGCTTCATGAGAGGAACACTTGAACTTACTCACCAGAGCATGTGTTTTTAAATATGCCCATGCATATGCAGCACAGAGATAGTCCCCAAGAAACACCGGTACAGCACAGCTGTCACACCTGAGGAGCCTCATGGATATGCACTAGGCCCCCAGTTTATCAACGTCAGACACATTTACTTTCTAGCAAACCTAAAGAAAGAAAATTAATTGAAATGCACACCACCCTTTGTAAATAAATATGTCACGAACCAGCCAAGTGTGTACTCCAACGCGATTTGCCTGAAAGAAATAACTACACCCCCCAAAACTGACTACCTTCATCCTCGACGTCTCTCTATTAAATTGTTGCCTTCAAATTTAATCATAAAAAACAACTGGGCGGTATATAGGTTGATCAGAAGGCAACGTAAACGTCATCTTTAACATTTGCCGTGTCCAAGAAACAAGGGGTTGTTTACAAGGCAACTGTGACTTAAGAAGAAGAAAAAAAAGAACAATTATTCACACAGTCTGATTGTTAGACACATTCACCCCACGTTAATATCACTATGTGCTGTGACAGTGACATTAGGTAGCCTACCTGAGACTGACAGTGGAAACACTTTGCCATCAACAACATGGAATCGTGTTGTGCTGCAGTTGTTATCTCACTTACAAAAGATTAGAGTGATGCAAATCAATCATAAGTTTCTATGCCTTTCTGTGGCATATAATTATACAGCGAGCCTCTTGAAAACAACTGGCCAAAAAGAATAAGAGTTAAGTTACATTCAGTGTTTCTCTCTCTCTCTCTCATCTCATAACCACAGTCCTGCTGGAATTTGCCACCTAAGGGAGCAGTGCGCACAGGATACTGGTGTTGTATCAGCATGGCCTTTACAAGTAGTCATGGAGGCATCTCGCAGTAGAGACATACTGTACGTACAGGCCATCACGGAATGCTATTGTATTTCTTCAATTGCAAAAGAAGAAAGAACTACTTTGAGATTGCGTTATACTCAGAACTCTGTACTTTGTCACATGACCCTAATCTTTGACCTTGGGATTTAACACCTTCATACAAAGAGGCTCAGGAAAACAAAGCAGCTATGACTTTGTTGAAGGCAGGTTCTAAATGATGTAGTCCTTCACTAGAAGACAGCACAGTCTTGAGATGTTAGGTTAAATATTCATAGCTTGGCTCTAAAAAACCCATCAGTCCAAGGACAAGGCTCCCTTTCAGATGGCTGGCAAGGTTTTTTAAAATGAGGTGAGCAGGTTGATAAGTGTACCGGAGGCAAGAATGTAACAATCTTCTCCACCGCAACATCATCAAGGTGCAAAAACGCCTTTACACAACATATAATCACCCAACAAGAATGTTCCCTGTAGAAGGTACCAATCAGACTTATAAGCACCAGCCACAGTCAGCAGTTTTGCAGAGGGGATTCTCCCCTGTGCTGGCAAGGTTCTCATATGAGTGGACAAGTGCACAAAGAGCTTTTTTCTTGTAGCAACAAAACCCACTGAGTGATTGAACATTCCAAACTCCAGAGTGTTCAGGTAGAGTCTGACAAATGGGTTAAAAAAAAAACTAAAGCTGTAACTTGTGCCTGAATAGAAACTGCCCACAGGTCTCATCTCTCTATCACTCATCTCACCTGTGGCCTTGTTGAAGGTCAGGGTAATCTTATAATTGAGATTTAAATACCCAAGAAGCCTATACAGTAAGGTAATGACCATAAAAGAAAAACAAGATAATACGCCACACTGAGGGATGGGACAAAAGGATAAATAAAAATGAAAAGAAAAGGAATACAACAAAAACAAATCAAATGTACATTAGGAGGAAGCCATAAAGGTTAGTAAGGTAAAGGAGGGACATCGAGCACTAAATAATGGAGGGCAAGGCCGGACCAGACTGGGCTGTGTTTAAAAAAAAAAGGTTTAAGCAGAGGGCAGAACTGATGTTCTGTATATCTCTAGTCTAACACAGGACAAGATGAAAAATAAATTAAAAACCGCTAAATGTAAAAGGGCTTCAACTGAAAAAATAGCCATTTAAAGTTCTCACTAAGATGTGGTTCTTTTGTTTGGGGCAAATGTTGATCAGCTGGGTCTGGTCTGGTCTTGACACCAACATAGGTGTACAGGGCTGGATTTGCTATGCTGGCCTACAAGCCGGTGCTGAAGGTGTGCAGCTCGTGGTGGAAATGCTGTGAGGGTTCGGATAATATCAGGCTAGAATCCAAGCAGGGGTGCCAGATACGTCCAAGGCCCAGTGACACCTCCTTAACCAGGTTGTGGACTGGATCTCCTTCCATGCACACCGACTGGTCGGGGTCAAAGTCGATGCTCTCCTCTGAGACCGTCAGGACTCGGAGGCTGGAGCCACGCAGACGGGAGATGGCCACCAAGTTGTGAGACCACACTGTGTAACCTGCAGGGAATGTCGTGGTTAGTCCTCATCGATACTCAGGAATAGTACTTTTTACAATTCAATTATATAGGTGTGGTCTGCAGCACAAACAGCATGTTTTTACCATAGTAGTTTTTATACTACTAAAAGTAAACTAAAATGAATGAAGACGGTAATAAAAATAAGTAGATTATTAGATCAAAAGAGCTATTACAGCTAATTTAGCAGGGGTCGCCATAGATTTGTCAGGGGGCCAGAACTTGTCTGGATGATACCTTCAGGCCAAACATCCAAATAAAATAAAATAAAATAAAAATCACATTTTTGTCTAATGTTCTTATTTGATTGATTTTTAGTTTGGAATCCAGTCGTGAGGATTAGATGGTTCTGCAGATTCTCTATAGGCACAACATGTGAGAACTAAGAACTAAATCCACCGAAAGCTCTGAAAACATTCTGCAGAGATTTCCCTCCAAATCCCTGAGAAAAATCCCATCATAACTTCTGTGAGTAAAGCCATGTAACTTCACAGGAGGAGAAAGTCGAAATATTACACACTGGATGAGTGTCCAACTTGTTACATGGTCAGGTCCATGTGGTTCACTGCCAGGATGCTCTGGTAAATTTTGTTGTTGTCATGAAAACATCTCATCAAGTTAGTCTATGAGAAATCGGCTGTTTGTGTCCTGGCCACAGACAGACCTCCTTATTTTGCTGTGAGTCTATTTTATTTATATGAATGCACCAGAAACTCCAGGGTATTGCAGAAACATGAATATTAACTCACCATGTATTATCAGTACTGCCAGCTGAGTACACCTCCATGCTAAAAGGACCAATGGGTCTTCATTGCGACTGACACTAAGATCAGGAAAGTCGGGGTCATCCCTCAGGAGCACGAAATGACTCAAGGTTTTGTTGTACTGCTGAGAGATGAGCTCCAGTGTGGCATCATTCACCACAGTGCTGTAACTGTCGAGGTGAAGGCGTTCCAGTGGAAGGCTAGGTTTGAGGATCCTCAGGAGCTCCGAGTTGTCAACTTCTAGGGCCATGATGTACACTCGCAGGTTGGTGCTCACACGGACCTTGAAAAAATGAATTTAATGTAATCTTAATGTGCTACAGCAGTGATTCTTAAACATAGCACTGCCAGCACCATGAAGAGGGCTGCAAAACCGTTAGCACCTTTGGGCCACAATGGCTGTGGGACTTCGTAGTTTATCAACTGAAGACTCCAGAGTTATCCATGAGAAGCTCAGTTACAATACAGTTTTTCGTACATGTAGTGGCGGTAAAGCAACAGACAGTTCTTTAACAAGCTCTAATGTTAGCTGTAGCATTGGCGCATACATTGGAGTATGGATACGTTTTTAAATGAACAAATTAAGCAGAACGTTGTGCGGGAACTCCCCTGTCCCCAAGTGGTATAATCCCGAATTCATGAAATACAGTTTTTTGCTTTTTATAAGGATTTGGTTTAATATTAAATACAAATCAAACCATGGGTGAGGTGAAGTTAACCTATACAGTGCTAATATTTAATAGGCCCGGAACCCTTTGTACAATAGAAATTGGGCCTCAAGGTCAAAAAGGTTAAGAACCCCTGTGTTAAAGGACTTTTTTTTTTTAAAAACACTGAAATTTAAACAACATAAAAGAGCCACTGGAACTGTTAATAAGACATGTCTGCATTACCAGTGCCTTCCAGTCGTCCTCTGTGGCTGTCCCTTCCAAAGGTTTGTATTCCAGAGAGGCACCATTTAGCAGCAAAGACAGGCGGTGCAGTGGAGTGCGACGTGGAGATGCCAGCAGACCACAGAGTTCAGATGTCAAATCAGAAAAGTCCAATGCCAACGAATTAACACTGGCGAGTCGATCTATTTCTGAAGGTGAAATGAGTGGGCCTGAGGACAAAACACAAAAAGTCACATCTTGAAGGAACTCTGCTATATCTACTATAATTACAAATACTTAATGTCACAAGTACTTACCCAACTGGTGGTCCAGTAAACTGAGGTGCTGCAAGGTCTGAGCTGAATGATTTGACAGGTAGGCTAAAGAGCAGGGAGTCACCAGACCAAGCATAAAACTACAGGACAACCACCTCAGCTGTCTGCTGTTAGACAGCAACTCAGTGAATAACTGTTGGATTCTACACAGACCAAAGGGGGAAGATTAGTGAGGATGTTAAAAAAAATATATGTAAAGCTCTTGGTATAAAAATTGCTGTGGTATGACAGTGTTTCTGTACAGAATAAAAGGAGGGGCAACGCTATGCTTAAACTCAGAGGGATCTGTAAAAATTATTTGGTATAAAGACAGATGTGTTATCATTCTTCTCAAATTATTTACAACTCTCAGGCACAAAAAGATGTAATTATTAGTCCAAACGTAAGATATTTTGCAATACATGCAATAGGTTACAGATACTAGCATAAGGAAAAAAGTAAAATCTTAAAGATACATGTAGCCAAAAGTGATGCACTGACAATTCCTCAAAATCGTTTAAGGCCCCTGTCACAGACATAAGTCTACATGTCAACTTTGATTTATTTTAACCCATTCCCACGACCAACGGGTGGACTTACTCGTTGATTTTCTTGTCTCCCTGTTGAATTTGGTGCAGGTTTGAGCTGTCCAACAGTCCCTCCTGCTGGAGAATACAGGTGTCTCCATACAGACTCAGCTTTTGCAGGTTTCTACAGCATAAGAGAGAAACTGTATGGAATATTAGTGTATTCTTACATGAGTCAGCAGTGTGTAAAAAGCTCACTTCATTGTTTCTTATTCATTTGTGTTCCGTATTCCTGTCAGCAGGGCAATTCTCGGGAGTTTACCCTTATGTCACTGTATTTTTTACTGTCATCATTTGTTCATAATTTTCATCATTTTTTCTGACCCACATGTAACTACGACAATTTTGTTAATAAATAAAATCTAAGCCCAGTTCTGGAAATTGTCAAGCTGGTTTAACAAAATAACAGGTTGAATCAATTTGCTGCAAAATTGTCTAGAACATTTAAAAAATCTATGTACAATGTAAGCAGAGGTGAGTGCATTAAATGTCTTTCTGTTGAAATGAGTGAACATTAATGTACGTTAAAAGAACGGATCAGTGTGATATGTGTGTTAAAACCCACTTCCTGCGTTTTTTAGCTAAGCCTGACAAACCTTCACTGCAATAAAAACAAAAGTAAAATTAGGTGAAATCACTAAAGGAGCGAAAACAATGGTAAAGAAAAAAAAAAAGGGTAGTCATCATATGAGTATAAACACAATGCCAATTGACATATCATACTATATCAGAGCAGTACAGTACATTAATAAAGAATTGAAGTCTGTATTTTATATTAAAAAATGTAAAGTTTTACTTAGATTCAGATTTGTTTGTTTGTTCAAACAGTCCTCTAGCTTGTTACTAGAGGACATGGTTTCATTTTCATAGTCATGAAGACAGTTTAAAAAGATGAGAGAACCATGAAAACAACAAAAAAATACACAACCACATATTAATTAATAAGGGGACATTTTTTGTCCTAGAGATACTGCATTTGTAAGTAGAATAAACGTCCAAGCCTACAGTGAAACACATACTGTACAGGAGATAGGCTGTGGGAATGTTGTAGTGTGTCCAGAAAGAGAATTCTTGTTGGGTTCCAAGAATAAAAAAAAATTGAGCAGTTAAAAATGTACATTTCCAAACTCTCCCGAAAAAGAGGAAGAATGACAAAGACTGATAAAGCACTAATATTAAAATAAATTCCACATACTGAGTTCCACTAAGCCAGCGTTCTGGAAACAACTACATTGTCTAATGCCATGTTCTGAAAGCATAAAATAACTTTAAAAATATAATTTGTCTACATTTACTTTTTTGTCATTAAGTGGTCCCTCTAGAAATGTCTTTGCTTGAAAGGCTGGCGTGCTAACCGCTACACTATGAGACCACTGTTTCGAGGAGACTTTAATAAATGTGTCTACATTTCTGAGTGGAATCAACGAGAAACCTGTTGACATACACAGCAGAACCGACACATGAAACAAACTGCTATACACGGCTGTTTCGATGCAACAAAGCGTTGTGAGGAATAATGACAGAAGCTGTCGCGGAGGTTAAACTCGCAACTTCTACACAAGAGACACCACAAGCGTGCAGCCTATATTATCGACATGATTGATAGATGAACAATAAAAGGGACCATGACAAGTTACAGTTTGTGTGCGTGTGTGTGTGTGTCAGCAATACTGCATTCAATTTCTCTACTGGTATGGACAAACCAAGGCAATACCGACAATAGTAAAAACAAAAGAAACACACTGTAATGCGACCACACACTCCATCCATATGTCAGTATAAATTGTTTCCTTATATGTAAACATGGCATTTAAATGCAATTTTTTTCGAGTAGCCATTACATGTACACATTGCGATGACTGCTTGCTCAAGTGCAGACATGAGCTGGTTACATAACTGCAAATGTCAGGGTTTGTTTTTAGCTAACTAAGCTAGCTGCTAGCTGACTGCGACGCAGCAAATGCACTCAGATGTCAACAGAAGGGAAAGTGACAAAAAGACAAAAACAAATCAAGTTAGGAGTTCTGTCTTGTGTACTATATAACACTACCTGTTGTTGCGAATGCCAGTGAAAACACACAGCACTTGGTCCAGGTAGGTGGTCACAGCATCCCTCCATCGCTCCGGGAGCTGCTGGTTACCATCCGGACCAGGAAGCTGGTCCATTCGGGTGGCTGACGCATCGTTATTCGGAGGACCGACGTATCCCTCTATGGGTGCGAGCTCCAGCTGTAGATCCCGCACGAAAGAACCGAACTTCCGTATGAGAAACTCAAGTCTAAGGTTCTCCTCCGAGCTGGCACCGCCACTATTACTTCCACCGCCTATCCGCAGTTTGAGCTCGGTCCACAACGCTGGGTAAAAGAGACACTCCCTCCACCGTGAACATACGGCCGAGGCCCGGAGTTTGTCTCGGTCGGAAAGAAAGGAGAATATGTGGACAATAAGCTCACTGGGCAAAGCCATGGCTCCGACACCGCCGCACAGAGCCATGGCGAGCAAGAAAACCGACCAGACGTGAAGGAATTGTTTAAAAATAACCGTTTCACAGTTGTAGATAGTAACGACGGCGATTCTTTCCGCTCGGTAAAAACAAGCCGTTTTCAGCGTTGCCTTCGATACTATTGGACTGTACCATTCCTTGCTAGTGCACGGGTTAACTAACGACGCCTCTTTAATAGCATAACCATTTGTGTCACATGCTACGTAGTATTGTATGTGTCTTCTAAGCTTAACACATTATTATCTATGTACTCCTAAGTTTTGATGTTTATTTTCTGTTTAGTATTTTGGATTCGTTTTCTATATCCGCAATGTCAGGTAAATGGTTCACGCTGAAAGTGTTGCTATTTTTGCCGTACTGTCGGGATTCGCTAGGTGGCGCCGTTTCTTGGGATAGCAAACAACCGACACGTGATTTTTATTTTGGAATAGTTTTCCACATCAGACACTCCCCCTCCACTTCCTACATTGCTGGATACAAGTCCGTACAGGGCGAAAGAAACGTGATTTGTGACAGAATTAACATTCAGGGTATATTCTTCTAGGTCAAAACGAACAGTTCCTTTAATTTGGCTGGAATGGATTATTCATATAACCATAAAGACACGTTATCCCTTATGATATGCTCTATTCTAATAATATTACCAAAATCTGATAATGTGCGTTCACTGCGTAGTTTTTAAAACATTTCCAATAACGAGTAATCCTAAGCTAAATATTTAAGGTGTATTTTTATTATTATTTACATATGTACGTGAATTGTGTGGGATTGTGATTATAGTAGGTGTTTCTCAGTGCATATGAGAGGGGGCGGAGAGAGAGAGAGAGGAGGTGGGAACTCTTCATTTTGCTGCACCTGCAGCACCTGCAAGCGATTTTCAAATCGAAACTGCATGGTTAGAAAATGACCTCCTGGCCACTGGAGGGCAGTCCTTACAAACAGAAGAGTCTTTTCTGTCATCATAAGGATTTTTTTGCATAGAAACAGATTCGACTAGAATGGATTAAGAGTCTCTTCTGCTCGTTCCATGTGATTATCTGAATCTTTTATTTGCAGTAAGTCATTTTTGTTTTTAGAAAGAGAACAATTAACTGTCTTTGCTTCGTTGATGACAGCTTACTCAGTAAAAACCGCGGTGGTGTTTTCTCGGTGCAGCTAACGTCTCTTCGCCGGCAGCCAAATGGCAGCGACGGCAGTAAGAGCAGCAGCGGCAGCAGTGACGGCAGCGGCGGGGAGTCCAGCGTCTTTGTCGCGGTTTCGGGGTGCGTTAGTAGCCGCTGTGGTCGGTGACTGTGTCGGTGGTGAGTTCGAAGGTGCGGAGGAGGTTCCTATGGAGACTGTGCTGAGGCACCTGAACGGCCTGGAGAACGACACCAAAGGAGACGGTTCGTAAATGCACCGTAGTAGAAATATCCTTGCGACATTTGAACAGAATAGACATAACATAAGTGCGATGTATGTATCATATGCACAGATTTTTTTTTATTTACTTAATAAGTGACTGATTTTAATGGAAACTAGTTAACGTTTTGACTCCATTTCTTACTTTACTCTGTTGTGTTGTCTGTTTTGGTTTGCTTTACACAATAGCAATTTAAATATTTCTTGTAAATCACACTAACATTTAATCAAAACTATACCCTGATGTTCATGAAATTACTTGGTGAATTTTAGATATTTCATAAAAAATGTTTTTTATGTTAGATATAGCTGTGTACACTACACACTTTGAGTACATTCTATAACTTCACATGTATGTGTTTATGTTTTTTAGCCACTCTTGAATACAGTGATGACACAGCAATGGCACGTTGTGTTGTGCAGTCTCTACTCACCCGAGGTGGCTTCGATGAGCAGGACATGGCTCACAGGTATTATTGTGGTACAAAAACACTACTGGCAAATGGAGTAAATGGGGGTTTGCTCTAAAAAATGTGATTAAACTTGTGTACACCTACAGCAAACCTTTACTTAATGTGAAAATTACACTTACTTACTTTTACAATTGAGACCTAGTCAAGCCTTGTCCTCCCTCTAGGTTTGCCAAAGAGTACAGTGCATCTCCTGGTCGTGGTTATGGTGCTGGAGTTATTCAGGTGCTTAAGAAGCTAGCATCACCTCACCTCAGTGACGTGTACCAGCCAGCTAGGGAACAATACAATGGTCGAGGCTCCTTTGGAAATGGGGGGGCCATGAGGGCAGCTCCCTTTGCTCTGGGTTTCCCAGAGCAGGCTAATGTTAAAAAGGTCAGTATTTGATGAGTAATGAGTAGTAGTTCTTTGTAAGATGTATTAAAGATATTCTGTCATGTTCTTTGTAAGATGTATTAAAGATATTCTATCTGTATGAGGAGTACACATTGGTATTTATGACATAAGATATAAATAATATTTTTTGTAGATGTGAGCAGCTCTAAATACCTATATCTGTAATGACAAAGAGCAGATTAGAAATGGGTTTGTTCTGATGTTATTTTTTTATTAAATCTTCAGTGCAAGATTTAGCTTTTGTTGTGATAAAACGTATAAAGAAAAGGTGGACATTTTAAAACTAATTTCACAAATGTTTAAAACAGAACAAAATGCTACTCTTCATGAACATTGTTAAAACTTTCAAATCATCGTTTTTTATTCCTCAACAGTTTGCCCGTTTAGGTGCCATGCTGACTCACTCCTGCTCTCTGGGTTATAATGGTGCTTTGCTCCAAGCGTTAGCTGTGCACCTGTCCCTTCAGGGGGCACTAGAATTACCCCAACAGTTTATTAGCAAGCTAATCACAGAGATGGAGAACGTGGAGGAAGATGATGCAGCGCGCAGTGATGCTAGATTGTAAGTTCTACACAGACTTCAGTTTCTAATTTATCAGAGGCCCAATGTTGTCATGTCTGAATTTTAAATAATGAATTTTACACTAAAGTTTGACCAGTGTTGTTCACTATGTCTTACGTTTTATATGCAGCTTAAAGGAGGCAGACAAGCCATTCTGTGAACGCCTTTACAGAGTTAAAGACCTGATGGGTAGGAGCACGGTTAGCATAGAGGAGGTCATCTCTGAACTGGGTCAGTATCAGTTTCAGTATATAAATATATATATTCTTCGTAAACTCTCTTTCTCACATGTACACATTAAAATATGCATATTGAACAAAAATATTGTGACATGAAACTGCTTGGAAGGGAAAAAGGTGGAAAAGATATAAGGATGTGGTGTAGGCAGATGGAAGCAGATGATATGGTGTGGTAAGACCACGAATGGGAGCATTCATGTGAAGAAGGGAAAGAAAGAGGGTGAAGGGTTCATTAGTCTCATTGTTGTACAGAGAAACTTGCCCTTTACCTCAAGGTCATGCATCCAATATATAATAAGCACAGGAGAAATCCTTCTTCTATTATTTTACTAATGTATGTGTGTGTATTTTGTCTTAGGTAATGGAATTGCAGCCCTACACTCTGTACCCACTGCCATCTTCTGTGTCCTTCACTGCCTGGAACCCCGTGAATGCTTTCCCGAAAGCTACGGTGGTCTGGAAAGGACAATAGCATTTTGCCTCGCACTCGGAGGAGACACAGACACCATAGCCTGCATGGCTGGAGCCATCGCCGGGGCCCACTACGGCATCCAGGCCATTCCACAGTCCTGGATCAAGTGCTGTGAGGGTGCAGAAGATGCTGACGTGAGCGCAGGTCAACTTCACATGCTTTACCAACAGTTGTCACAGAGTGATAGTAGTGACATCAGGACAGGCGAGAAGAGCTATGGACTCTGGACTGAAAACAAATCTAATGGCGCAGAGAAGAAAAACGGCACACAGTGATTCCTTCCTAAGAAAATAAGGAATCATGTGATAGAATATTTGCCAAACCTTTTTACACTTTTTTTTTAATCAAAAGTAAATATCCACAAGCTCATGGTCATGTTGATCCTGGGGGATGTATCATGAGGGGCACCTGTGAAAATTATCCAATTTGACTATGTAAATTGATCTGGAAAATGTTATTTATTCTCTGCTGATATCTTTTGTTTGCCCATGTGGTAGTGACAAGTAGTACACCTATTATTGTTATAAAAGAAAAAAAAAAAGAACAAGAGCTGTTAATGTCTTTCCTCAATTCCTGCAAATATAAGCAGGTTAGGTACACCTAAACAGGCCCAGGTTTTACCCTGGGTAAGTAAATTCTGAGTAAATTGAAACTAAAAGATCAATATATTACATCAAATATACTTTTTTTGTCATTTTTGTTTGGTGGTGGATTTTTGTAATGTAAAACATGCCATATGTTTGGGAAATACTGGTATATACTGTAGGTCTGGTTGTTTTTGTCCCCTGATACTACACTACCCTAAAAGCACTGACTCTGACTGTATACTTTGGCCAGCATCTCATGTTTTTTTAGTTCTTCAAAGCTATTATATACAATTAAGCTGATGAAGTATTTTAAGACTTTGTGTAGAATTTATTTCTGTTTGAGAACGGTTAGAAATATCTGGGAAATCTGGAAAACATTTAAAATCAAGGATGTCAAATAAATCAATGGCATTAGGGAAACTAACGAGAAACAAATCATTTCAATCATTTAAATAAAAAAAAAAATTAAAAACATTTTTTGGATTTATTTATTTATTCACCATCTACTGATTCATTCTGTGCAGTGTTGAGGCAAAGAGCTAGATCCAGTCCTGACATAAAGCCTAAAACCAGGTATACCATACAGAGACAGATGTAATATGAGGCAGCAAGATGCAAGAAAAGATGGAAAAAGAAAGGAAACACTAATAAATGAGAAGTCTAACTATAGCAAATTGTATATGACAACACATTTCTGAGGAAACTGCATATGATTGGCAAATTCCATGGTGATATTGCAGAGCCTTCAAATCCTTTATTACAGCAGGTCATGAAATAACAGATGCAACCCTGCCCAATTCCACAATGCAATGGTATTGAATTGTAGCAGCTTCACAGAGTTTCTGAGAATTACGTTTTACATCAGGGTTACAGATACAGAGTTTGTATTACAGTAACATGTATACATTTATATCCAAACTGAACATCCTGACAACACGGAGTCAACTGTGTCTGATTTATTATACCATACTGCCAGTGTTACAAAGAAAGAAATGGTCAATACTGACATACCACAGTCTGATGAAGTCTGAGTTCAATGTAAACAACTGTTGAAGTAACTCTTGGAAATCATACATTTTTGTCAACTGGGCAGACTTCTAAAAACAGCTGAAGGAATACTGTCAACTTTGTCAACAGGTTGGGGCATAGCTTGTAATATATGAAAGGGATGTAGATAAGGATTCCACTCAAGATGAATAAAGTCACGTAAAGGTATTCAATCTGGGGATTATCTACGATGGGAGCCAGCACAAGAAATACTGCTGCTATGAGGACCAGGATCGGGAGTATAATGGGAACCTGTAGAGAAACAAAAAGACAAAAGTCTGTGCTAAAAATAATTAGAAAAAGAAAAATAATGTATGGAAGACACTGACCTTGTATGGCCTAGGGAGTTCTGGCTTCTTGATCTTGAGGTAGAGGAGTCCAGCGAGGGTGATGCCATAGAAAATCCAGGCTGTAAAACTGAAAATAAATGGATAATTATGTTAGGCCATCAAATGTGTTGAAAGGCAAATTGCAAGATTTGCTGTTACCTGAAAAAGTTGACGATAGTCTGAAAGTCACCGGGTATCAGTACCACCAGAGAAACAATGGTGGTGAAGATCAGTGCTGGAGATGGGGTCAGTCTGTGAATGTGAGCCATGGCTAGAATATCTGGCTAAAAAACAACACAACTTTGTGACAGTCTTCTATAAAACATATCTAACACCGGGATTCCCAAACTTTTTCATGCCACAACCCCCCTCCCCCAACTGCATTAGCTTCTGCCATGGGACCCTTTTGCAAATGAACACAAATCTAACACACCTTGTGTGCAACATTCGGACTTGAGTGAGTGCCAAAAAATCCCACACAGTTACTTCTATCGGAAACATTTTCTCATCTAACAAATCTTTATTTAAGCTTGATTGTAAATAGAGGCTGTAATTTATCTGCTGATGTCTGATAACATTTATGATTTTATCTTTTGCCGTTATCACTATCCTTGTCCTGAAATTCCCTTTTGGGATCAATAGGGTATCTATATAATTATTCATCTATTTATTATCATTAACTTTGTTCTGCAATTACGGCCCTTGTGGCTGGTGTTGTTGACATGATTGATTACTGATTGTTGCGAGTAGTGGAAATTTGATGTTGCTTCCGTATAGACATTTTATAACTGCTTTCATAAAAAGGTGTACTTCTTAATTATGTCCTTTTTGACAGGGGTATTCACTGACATCCAATTGTGAATGCCGTTGATGATATTTTCCCTCACACACACTCGTAATAATTCAAAAGACTCTTACCATGTGTCCTTCCCTGGCGGCGACAAAGCAAACGCGGCCTCCACTAAAGAAGGTCCCGTTCAGTGAACCAAAAGCGGACAATGCTGCAGCCACAGACATGATCCAACCCCAGCTGCCCAGCACCTTATTTCTGTAGAGTGAGGTGAAAATTCAAACCGTGTACAGGTGGTCCACGAATTTCATCGGAATTACGTTCCTACGGTGAGATGTAACTCAACTCTTACGTCCCTCACCTACGCTAATACGTCATAATTTAGGACAGCAGAAGAGTCAGACTTACGCCTGGGAGCCGCAATGAAGGGCAAAAAGTTAAAAACAAAACTAAAGAAAGCAAATGTTGCACAATTTAATGTATGGCGAACAAACGGCGAAAGTAAACAAAGTCGTTTTCCTCATAGAGCCGTCCCCCGATCGCCAACTAATTTACATTTACACTTATGCATTTAACAGACGCTTGATCGAACCAGGACAATGAAATACTGTAGGTCGAGGATGTCTTAAACCGAGGACAGCAGCACTCTTACTTACCCCCATGTGACTGCTACTGCACTGGAGGAAACGAGCTCCTTTGGTGTCATGACTGTCAGGTAGCTGACGTTCACCAGCAGATACAAGCCAGTCACCAGAGAAATAGCAATGATAACAGCCCGAGGAAGATTGACCTGGGACATAAACAAAAATAACAACAACAATCAATATCTACAGACCTGCATGAAACAAAGAAGGCATAAGGACTTTTGAGGGTTGTAAAAGTTGTGACATTCTCTGGACCTTGTTTTGAAGGAAAGCCTGTATTTGTACAATCAAGCTTGTGTTTAGGCCAGTCATTTATTAACAGCCATTGTTCTGGCTTTTCCCAGGCTTTTGTCTCGGCCTGCTCATGATGATGGGTCTCAATGTTATTGCTATTAGCCAGAGTAGAGGAACAATTAATTGTTTGAAATACCACAGTGATTCTACCGCAGTGATTCCCAACAACAGCAGTGTAATTTTAGAAAATTATCCAATTTTACCTAACTAATCTGAAACTAGAAACTTTAAACCCGAAGATCATTATATTTCCTTACATGTATTTTTGTGACATTTTTG